TCTTTCTTTCTTTCTTTCTTTCTTTCTTTCTTTCTTTCTTTCTTTCTTTCTTCCTGTGCCTATGTTCTGCAAAATGAAAGCATTGGCTTGGAAGGTTTCTATCCTTCCTTAGCCTGGGGCTCTGTAAATTGGCTCCTTCAATAACATTTCAACAAAGGGACAATGAAACTGGGTCTCAAGGCAAAGAATCTGCAAGCAGCTAAGATATAAGCCAGCTTCTCTTTCCTACGTGAAGGGATAGGCAGAAGTCTGGCTACCAAAATGGTCCAACTGATCACTGGGATGTCAGGCACATTGACCATTATCAGCCCATCCTCATAAACTAAGAAATGTGCCATCATTACTTCAGTTTCCCAAGGCCCCTGCATCCTGGCATGGAAAATTAAACTACACTACACCAGTCAGATGTTTTCCAGTGAAACAGCTAGCAGATAGACAATACTTGTTCTGAATCAATAGAAGGAGATTTATGTGAGACATATCAGAAGACCCTGAGGTTTCGATCTGTGGGAATTCAAGCAGATTCTGAAGAAAACCTCAGCAAAAATTTTGTATTGGGAAAAACTGAATGAAACAAAGATCACATGAAAAGAAAAAGACCACGAAGTATCACAGGTTTGTGGTGATATGTTTTTAGTTGTATCCAGTCCAGTTTCAAAACAGATCGATAATTCCGATTTGGAAAACATCAGTGGAACATTTCAGATGACAGAGGGACAAGGCCATGTGAGCATGCAACTCCCCCGGTCTGTGGCCGTCAGTTGAGTCTAAGAACAAAGAACCCAGTGAATCACTGAGTATCAAATCATAGCAGTTTCATGTGACAAAGAAATAATTCAGGTTGGGAATTGAATGGAGTTGTTCTTAAGGCTCCATGGTCTTTGGTAGAAGTCCTGTTATATAGGCAGAAACTCAATGTTTTGTGTCAATGAGAGGGTTTGACACCATTTCACTGAGGCTCCCACGTCTGGAAAATAAGCACAAACTGTCCCCAGTTTAGATATTAGAAAGTTAAGCATTAAGGAAGTTAAAGTAATTATATAGGAAATCACAGAACTGATTAAGTTCTTTTCAAAGCAGATATATAATTATCTAAATGTTTAGCAACAATTATTTAGAGAATAACAAGTTACCAGCCTTAAAGGATTATATTGACTTTTCAGATACTGTACTCCACCAATGCCATTCACAGTGTACATGGTATCTAGTCATCTTTAGATCGAGTTGAAGGTCCATACTTAAAGAAGTAACTCTTCCATCTTTGGATATTTGAATCTGAAATGATGTTCTTGCTTAACTGGAAATGTTACTCAAATTTCTGAGCCCTCTCACTCATGGATAACTGCGCTGTCTAGAGCCCATTTATTAGTTAGTGAGCTATCTTGTCCAAATATCTTCAGAGAACATTCTATGGGAAGCTCTGTGCTCAGTCTTCATCATATGAAACCTAGATGCTAGATCACAGGATTAAGCAGCCTCCCTTCTTCTCGTCCATCCTGAGTAGCTTTCTCTAAGGATGCTACACTGTGTCCTATAGAACATCAAGTAGGAAGGTCTGGGTGAGCTTTATAAGAGAGACAGACATGCACAGGGAAGTCACAGAGAGATCCTTAAAAGGCAACTCAAGAAAACAGGCAGGGCATTTCAGAGGCTTCTGCCAGAAAATGCCACTACCTGGAGGCATGTAGAGATTTTCAGGCAACAATATTAAAATAATTTGCCAATAATGCCTGCTTCAGAAGCACTGCCAGAACAATTGAATGACTTTTCATTCCACTACTGTTGACAGGACAGCTAAGGATTTCAACATTTCCTCTCACAGTCTCAATAGAAGTTCCATGCCTTAGGGGATTGAACAATATTTGCCATCATAGGGGAAGAAGTAGGTGTGACAAAGAGGGACGAAGAAAGGAACAAAATAATAATGGAAGTAAACAACACGAAACAAGGACTATTCAAGTTCGGGTTTTGAATGTGTGCACCAATTTGACAACTGGTTGTACCCAAGTCTTTGAATCTGAGGAAGCAAGGATTCGAAAAAAGAGACACTGTAAAAGTAAACTTCAGGGGAGACAGAGGATAAAATAGCTGAAACTTTTCAACCTTAACATCAAGATAAGTATCTCACTTCTGGATCTCAGGAGAGGCAAAAAACCCATCCTGTAATAATGTTTATAGTGATTGGCATTCAGAGCTTCTATAATAAATAAAGATAAGACTTAATATTTTAATTTAAGAAGAAACTAAAAGAAATGCAATACTGTCCTGGGTTCTTCAAAGTGAGAGCTAAGTCAGGTGGACAGAAAAAGAAATAAAAGGAAGAAGAGATGGGTATGGAACGAATGAAGACAATGTTTTGAAATGGTATGGTCAGTCAGTCAAAATCCACTGAAATCCTGAGCTCAACAAAGGAGGAAGCCAATCCCATCTCCATGCTCACTTTTTCTGTTTCTCCTACTGACAGGCCACAAAGATTTCATGTGAAGACATGTTGTTAAAAGACACTTGAAAAACAACAGTGCAAAAGAGAATGAACTATTGGACAGTATTGACCAACTGCAGAGTGCTGTGTTCAAACTGAGCTTTAGGAATGGACTGAGGCTGCATGACTAACGAAAAGAGCCTTGAAGTAGGAGCCGAATTAAGAAAGCCTGGTAACAACTGAGGACTTGATCCAACACTATCAGTGAAGGATGGAATTGAGGAAGCTGTGGGTATCTTTTTATTTTTTATTTTTTTCTTTTTCTTTTCAGTGTTAAAAATCAAATTTAAGACTTTGTACAAGTTGGGCAAGCTCTATGTTAATGAGTTATACCTCTAGCCTTAGAGGAATGTATTTTTAAGCTTGGATACAATGCTATTTTGCATATCCATATATTACTGTAACAGGACACATGTGGCATAGAATTCAAACCAACCAAAACTGGTAGGTTTCAGGTATGGATTAAAAAAATATACCATAGAGAAATGCTGAATGCAAGGAGGCATTGGAGACACTGGCATAGGAATGACTGACATAAGGAAGAGCCTGAATCTTGGGATATATATATATATATATATATATATATATATATATATATATGTGTGTGTGTGTGTGTGTGTGTGTGTGTGTGTGTGTGTGTGTGTGTCTGTGTAATATTATATATTGTAATATATTAATATATATATATGTATATATGGGATATAAATTGGAATGCACCCGTAAATGGCAGCTGTAATAGCAGATCCAATGAGAGCCCAGTGAGAATAAAACAAGACTCAAGGGATGAAAACTAAGATGATGAAAGTCCCAGTGTATGTGAGGAATACAATGACAAAAGTTTAAATTTTAACAAATTTAAATTTAAATTGCATCATTGATTTTGTTCAGAGATATTAATATTAATTAAATGAGATGAGAAGTATTTGTTCTCATTTTAAGAGAATTCAATTTCTCTCATATGAGACTTAAATTGTCTACCAGTCTAATCAAGCTTTTAGACTTCCTAAAACACTAATAAGTCAGTCCCATGAATATTATTTGAAAATAACTTTTATAATTAAAAAAATGTAGTGAATTTAAGCAAATGGTCATCTACAGATGATGTACTTTGTACTAAGAGTCTCAAAAGCCAATACTCCCACGAGCAAGGGAATAGCCAAGTTTGTTGCGGTTTCCAATGAAGGACATGAGCCCAGTGTAGGTCTCAATCAGGATGGGTTGGGTTAACACCATCAGTTCCTCTCCTCTTCCAGATCCAGCAGAATTCTTGTGAGCGCGCTCAACAGCTGGAACAAGCTTAGACATGAACCCAGACAACTGCAGAACAAAAGGAGAAGCAGAAAGTTAGTGACTCCAAGGGCAACTCCTAATCATCCCCTCCCTAGTCAGTCCCCAGTGAAGTAGATGGTCCCACTGGGCCAGGAGCTCCTACTTCTTAGAAATGAGTGGCTTCTCAGAAGAGTTGATATTGCTTTTGGGTGGTTGTTACTATAATACACAACCAATTAAAAATGCACATAGTAAAAGTCATCGGCCTTATTTATTTTTCATTATTCTTAACTTGTACAACATTAAGGAGTTAACTTATTATGAATTAGACACTCGTTGGACACTGTATGTGAAAGACCAAATAGGACCAAACTCTGCCATTAAAGACAACTGGCTACAAAGTAGTCTACAAAATACACCAGCTGTTACTACTATGCAAAGTCATTATAATAAGCAGGAAAAGAGACAGAATACCTATGAACACGAAAGGGGAAACATTGTGCATAATTAAAGGATATGAAGGATGATGTCAAAAGGAGACCCTTAAGCAATCTTTAAAGATTAGCAAGATTCCCATAGGTAGAAATAAGTGAGGTTCAGCAAGTTAAGAAAGCTCTAAAGAACTTAGAGATGAGGACTGTGTCTTTCACAAGGCACATGGAAAATATTCATGCCTCTCATTATTGTGAAGACACAGACAGAGAAAATATGGAATCCCATATATTCAAACCATGTTCCTTAAACACAATACCTGAGAGGCAATGTGGAATTTTTGTTACTGATTTTCCTTTTTTTTTTTTTTTGAGAACTATATTTATGAATGTTGCACCTGTATCACTTCTGTCCTCCCCACAGCCTCCAAAATCTCCTCATGCTTCTTCTTCCCTCCCTAAGTCTTTAATTATTATGAACTCTTCTTTAACTATTATTGTTCCGCACAGATACACATGCTTGTACATATATGTAACCAATTTTTGTGTCCATGTAGCAGTGTGTGTATGTCTATATATCCAGAGCTGACCACCTGGTACTGGATAACCTATGTGGGAGCTGGTCCCTGGAGTCCCCCCTCTCTCTACATCCATGACCACTTCAAGCAAGCCAAGACCTTTGGAATTTCCCTTTATCCATGTCAGCATGTCAACTGATACCATTATGGATGTCTTGTTGAGGAAGCCACGTATTCTTGGTTTACACACTCACATACACACTTTAAATTCTGGAAAATTCAGGCATACGTATTTCCTATCATGTTTGAAAGACACTACCTAGAAGCAGGCATCCTGGGCCACTGGCTCTTACAATCTTTCTTCTCTTCCCCAGTGTTCTCTGAGCCCTAGGAGTATGGTTTTTGTTGCAGATGTATAAACTGGAGTTGAGCATCCCTGGGACACTTATTCTCTCCATTTTGGCCAGTTGTGAATTTCTGTAAAAGTCTCCACCTGTTCCAAAAAGAAGCTTCTTTGATGAGAAATGGAAACTACGCTGTGTGTGCTTTAAGGATAAGGATTTACAGTACAGTTACAAATCACTCTTTTGAAAGCAAAAAAGATACTGTTATTAATAATGTTTGTGTAAGAGGTGACTTTGGGCTGGAGGCGAGTAGTTGTAAAGGAAAATTCAAGCCACGCAGGTAAACTGCTTCAGTCTCTTTACTCAAACCAGTGTGATATTTTCATTCCTTTCATTATACTTAGTTTACAGTCATATTACTTTAAAATGTTATCAATTTATTAATTGATAACATTGAACTGCTATCTAACTTTTACTGTCCATAATTCAATCCACAAAGTTTTGTAGTTTTCACTTTTCTTTTATGTTTGAAAACCAGGTTCAAGCCTCCCACTTCCATAATGCCTCCCCGCATACCCAGTTAAAAATATTCTTTTCTTTTGGGACTGGAGAGAGTTCCTGACTCAGCACTTAGGACGATTTAATGCTCTTGGAAGGTTCGGTTCCCATCACCCACATGGTGGCTCACAACCATCTGTAACTCCAGTTGCATGAAATCTGACAGCGACTTCTGGCATCCAGCATCTCTGGGATAAGCAGAGCTGTGAGTTAAACACTCACACACACAAAATACTACTACTAGTGGTGGCAGCGGTAGTGAATGGTAAATTTTGTTGCACTGTACTGATACATCCACTCAAATATATTAACCGGACTTCTAAGCAGAGTTTCAAGTGTAGCATTTACATAGTAAGCCATTGCAAGGCTATTAGAATTTGGAAATCAAATACATTTTTTTTCCATGGGGGATAATATCTTTTACATTTTAAGTATACAGCATACTCTGTAATCCCTGTCCCTCAGACACCTCTAGAATTGCTAGGTACACAAGAAGTCTCTACTCATACTAACATACATTCCCATCCTATCTACATCCAACCCTTCACTCTGAAAACACACACAAATAAACACATACCCTCTCTCTTTAAATTCCATACAAAATTAATTGAACCATTAAGAATTTTTCATGTAGCTTTGTAACATGTAGCTTTGTGTCATGTTTCCTTTGCTTAAAATGCCGTCTCTTGCCATATCTTGAGAATTTTGGAACAACTAAAAAGGAGACATAGCTAAATATCCTTTAGTGATCAAAAGTCCCTTCTTTTTAATATGTAGGCTAGTGCATTCTGCAATGCCAATACTTAGGAGACCCAGATCAAGAGAATAAAGAGTTCAAGGGCAGCCTGGGCTATGTAGCAAGATCCTGACTCATTAAAAAAAAAGTCTCACTGCACTACAGGACATACAGCTTCACAATATATTTAGCATTAAGTACTGTGGGATTAGAAAGATGTTAAGGTGTAAAAAAGGTACCCACCAGCTGTATGTCCTTGGGTAAATTATTAAGCTTTCCTGAGTTTCATATTCTCGTTTCCTGAAAATTATTACACTGATAATATAAAATTTACAGGCAAAGTGTGTGAGAGAGAAAGAGAAAGAGAGACAGAGAGAGAAAAAAAAAGAATACCTATGTGCCCATATGTCATAGTAGGGGCCACGGGAATACAATGAGATATGGTTGGGATTCAAAATCATTGCAAAAGCCATTAAGAAGTTTGTCTCATTTAAACAATAAATGTTAGATCTTTTATCTCCATCACCATCATCATCAAAAAAAAAAAAAAATCATAGTCTCCTAAAAGGTGAAACAATCAATCTCAACATCTCCATTTGCCAGGACCGTGATCACAAATGCCTTCTTAGAGATCATTGTCAAACTAGATTACTCAAGACTTCCTCAGCTCTCATTTTGTAAGCATCATTTCTTAAGAATCCCCAGTAGTCTCGGAATCTAAGTGCTGGAAAGAAAATATTGACACTATTTCATACTCAACACACTGCATTTCATTAGATACACTCCATTCCCAGCCACGTCTGGAACACTCTCAAAGAGGGTAGGCATGCTTACAGAGACAAGCTGCTCCTTAAAGGAGTGGCAGACAAAAGGCCACGTCCCCAAGCTGGTTCTTGAGCATTTCAAGCACCTGAGCTCAATCTCTGTGACAAGAACGCTGTGTCATCTGATATGAATGCCACCAGCCACATACTTTTGTCTAAAAGCTTTTACACACCCACCTCTGTCCCCTGCTTTTATTTCTGTCTCAAAAACAGAGGGTCAAGTTTTAACAACTCCAGTTACACAGGGGCTGTGTTGGTTGGGGCAAAGCACAGCAGTGTTCCTGAGGGAGGAGGTGCAGTATTCTTGACTTTACAGCAATTATTTACCAGCTGAGTGCCTGGGCCCCTGCTTGCTTCAGGTGTTGTCTGCCAGCAGTTCCCGCCTAGAATCTCAGTTTTCTTTATTACAACCATCACTTGCTTCCTGTTTATACTGGGCAAAGAGACCAGGTTTCATCCTGCAGACCTGCATTCCTGAGCTCAGCAGGTTTTCCAGGCCTGCAGGCCACAGGTTTTCAACCTTTCTCTATAGAGGGAGCCCCTCCACCCCCGGATGAAGAGCAAATTGTCCAACGCTAAAGATGTGAAACCACTTGGCAAGTTCCAATGCTGGTCAAAATGTGTGTTGTTCGTGCACATTTTACTTGGAATTGTTTTGTGTGGAGGCTGTAACCGAGGGTAACTTTGTGTATGAAGACAACACAGAGAACGGGATGAGTTTCTTTTCTACACAAGAAGTTTCCAATCATTCTGACCTACATTCTCATCTGATTCACTCTTTGCTCTGAAGACTACACACACACACACACACACACACACACACACACACACACACACACA